CCTATATTTCCATTGACAGAATGCAGTAAACTATTTTATGTGTCTTCATGTTTCTCTAGAATAACCCGTAACCTTGGAAGATGGGTGCTTCATTACTGTACTAAAACAATCGTAATGTAGCAGGATATCTTCTTGTAGAAGAATACTTGGATATAAAGTTTATTGTTGAACTGTATCATTTTTCATTTGGTGAGGATAATGCATACAATCTTAAGATATCATACTCACATATAAGAAATTTGTTCAATATTATTCCTTAATTTGGGATATTAGATTTATTTTTCTTGTTGTTTTTTTGCAAAGTGGTTTGGATTCTTCACTATTAATCACTTGCCAGTTACGATTGTAGGTTCAAACCCCACCCTGCAAGAGACATGCATTATCTCCGTTGTGAGAAAACTACACTTCCCGAGCAAAAAGAAGAACCCACTGACACTCAGAAAATGGTTTACAAAATTTTATAACAATTTCATTGTTTTGATGCATTGAATTTCATCATCTAAGTATCTTGCACAAAACGGCCATCAAAAACTGTTCTTTTTTCTCTCCATTTCAACACAGATACTGCAATTTAAAAGTGTCAAAAAATGTGTTGAATAAATTTATTATTACAGAGCAGTCATGCTAGTTACACATTGCATGACATTATTACTTACTCATGCTTGTGGAATATTCAGCCACACTTGGGAGCATTCTCAGTTAAGGTTTTTGGCTTCAAACTACCCCGCACCACTGTAGGTTCAATCCCAGGTGTCACACTATGGTTAAAGTTTTTGCATGCAAGTTGATATCTCCACAACTGCTGAAGGGAATTGCTTGAAACTTCAGAGTAAAATAGGAAGTCAAGACCTATAACTCTAACATAGATTTTGACAGAATTATGGCCCTTTTTGAACTTAAATTTTTTTACATTAAACAAAAATCGTCGAGCACACTGTCCTACTCGCATCTCTTGTTGTAAATCTATAGACTGTTCAAAAATACAAAGCTGTACCAATCATGAGGTAATGAATTATCAGTCTGACTTGAAGGATTTTATAGAAAACTTATCTTGTGACCTGTCAATGAACAAGTTATTTTTGGGGAAAAACCTCATACATTTATAATGTAGATAATGTAACAGTAGAAAATGGAGGATTATTTAACAAAATATATTTCAATAGTTTGAATTGTAAATTAAATTCATTTGTCAATTTAGAGCAATTCACATGCATCGAGTTTTTAAGTTGATTGGAATATTCACAGTGACACTTAAATGGACATATTAACTCATTCATAAGACATTCTATTTAGAGGGTTGTACTAAAGACATTGTCTAATCAGCGTATTCGGCCATTCTCAGTTAGAATTTACACCCCTATCAAAATTTGATAAAAAATACAGATTAGCAAAAACGCAACACTGTTAGTCTTTTTACAAACTTAAACCATCTGTGAAGTTCTACTGAAATTATTTTCAACATCATATAAGTAGTTTTTGTAAATCGGCGGTTTGAAAAGTGTATCCATTTTACCTTTTTAAAATGCCGGAAATGTTCGTGACAAAGTACCTTTTACTTTAAAAAGGGCTGCTTATAATTACATTGATGATATCTTATTGGAATTTACTTTTAAATATCACATGATACATAGATTTCTAATTGTACAATTGATATCACGAATTACTTGCCTAATTAAGCTTATATACTTTTTTAAAAACCCATATGCAAAAAGTGCAAATCAAGATATACTGCTTAATTGTGATTACGATTTGTCTCATTATTATAAAAGCTACGACCCAGTGTAATTAGTATAGTTCTTGGCATAAATAAAAACCGTAGTATCACTGCTAGCAATTGTATGCGATGTATATGCTTTATTATTAGGTAAATGATCACCTTGCTAAAAATTTAAGTACTATGTGAAGCTAACGAACCTTTCAACCATAAACGCAAACAAAAAAGAAGCCCACTTAATACCCCAAAGCATACATATAGACATCAGACAATGATATTTAGTATAAAACCAATTATCTTTCTTGACTTTATAGTATACTGGTTCACAATTTGTAGTATAATAAAGCATCGAATAGTATCTAATGTAAAATGATAGTAACTAAAGACATAGCAATACAGCATATCAGTCTAAAACAATTGAAACAACAACACCTTAATTAAAAGATAAACATGTATCAAGAAGTACAACAGTTTACCAGATCAAATACATTGCTGGTGCTAAGAATTTAATCATAAATTCACTAACTTTTTCAATTCAGATATGGTATATAAAATAACGAACCTTTCATTGTCAAATCAAAATTTTTATGCTAATATAGATACATTTATATTCAGATATAAAGTTCGGATAAAAACATTCGAATACAATTATATTCATTACCTAATGATAGCTAAAGTAATCTTTTCATTTCTCAAAAAAGATATTAAATTGATATGGCATCTGTAGTAAAACAATTTATAAATGTTTTTTGAAATCTATAACAACTAATTCAATCAAATGAAAACGTATCAATATGGTAATAATACTAGATTCTACTTTTAAAACAAATAAACATAAGCTTTTTGCGAAGAGAAACATTCAGCTAGTATAAAATACTAGCTATAACATATAACGCAAGCATATCAAATGAAGGATCGGAGTCAATCTCGCTAATGATATGTCCGTTATTCACTGAAACTGCTTTTTTGCAGCAAACAAAGAATTGACCAATTCAATGTTGTCACCTCCCAATTATTTAAATGACCTCCGCGAATATCTTGCTTCTCTTGGCTTCATAACCTTTTAGGGTGTGTCCTTGGGTTCAGCCATATCTTTTCTTCGCCTTCTGGACATTGCAATATGTCACGCAAATATTAGTTTTCAAAAGGTTAATCACAATTTCACTACATTGAAGAAGCAACGAATTTTTCCATGCTTGTAAAAATATATTCTTGATTTTTTTTTCCGAATCTTCTTGTTTTATTAATTTACTGAATTGCCGCATGTTTTCAGGTTTAGATGTCTGCACTAAAAGTAATTCCAAAGCTACATTCGTCTAGCTTGAAAAAGACGGGTGTTTTTTAATTGAAAGGTTCGTGGCCCAAGACAACGAACCTTTCATTGAGTTAAATGTTTATTTTATCATGTTTCCCTCATCATAATAATTTATCTTTATAGAATTGTTTTAAATTCACTTCATATTTTGAATTTATAATCACACAAATATAATGTTTATTTGTTTTTTTTTATAAAACAAGCTTTTCAGGCGAGTACGAGGTTTATTTTTTACATAAATCTTTTTCAGTTGTAACGTCTTGTAAAAATCAGACATTCTTTTGATGTTCTTTTTCTGTATAAATAAGATATACTCACAAGATTTTTCTTAAATAATATTATATACATTGCAGGATAAGATATATTATTTTATTCATATAAATTATGATAGGAAAGGTTCGTGACTAATGGTCACGAACCTTTCCTTGTTTGTAATCCGACATGGTTTTGATGAACATCATACAAATATAAATCCGCTTATTTCATTTGAAAACAACATCGTTTGTGATTCAGTAGGCAATAGAAAATTTTCTTGAAATTTAATAATCATGAAAAGTATCAATATCACTTGCCAAAGGATTTTGATGGGAATTTCGATCATGTTTATAACATGCGCTGCGAATAATAAGCAACCATTATAGAAAGAACTGAAACATTTCAACACAAATGACTTCATAGAACATATGTTTGTTAACCGCAGCCGTTTACAAACAATTATAGTGTATGCGGCATCGAGTAAAATATATCACCGCACGAACCTTTCATCACGAACCTTTTCTCAGCATATTTCAGATTCAATAATGTTGTTTATACAGCTTCAAAATGTTTCATTTTTGGCATAATATACTAATGTTTACGCAACTTAGAACATTTCATGTGCTGGGAGTACATATTGCAGTCATAAACCCTTTAAATAAGATAACGAACCTTTCAATTTTAACCCAAACCACGTCACAACGATAAATTCTACATAAATAATAACAAAATTGTGCACACTATGAACATGGTGATAATATGAAAGTATTATATTGTGATATTAATACAAGAATGAACATGTAATGTTGTTTCAATGATAAAAACACTTCTCTTGCAATATATGGTTAAAAGGATAACGAACATTTCATACTATCCGGCGACAAACACTAACCCCTTACCATTTTTTATGAGTTATTGTTACTGAGATCTAATTTACAAATTTAAAGTCGTGAATTGTTCCAAAATGATACGGCATGAAACAAAATTAAAACAATACAATTAAAGCATCTAAATACACGTTCATTTTTTATAAATTGGACGGCGACAATCACGAACCTGTCATTTTCGTAACTTTAGGTGAATATTATGAAACAATTATTCACGATCAAATGGCGAGTTATTGTGTGTTATTTAAGGTAACATCTACCTTCTTAAACCAGCATAGATTTACAGGCAAATAACCTGCAATAATGAGGATAGACGGTGGCGACAAGTAAAAACTAAGGGTGTAAATTCTAACTGAGAACGGCCGAATACTAAATTCCCATGAAAAATGAAAAAAATTTGACAGTCCATGTAAAATTATTATTGATGTTATTGTAAAATTGTGATCTCATATGGTTTTTTTTTGTGATCCGAATCTTAAAAGCGATGATGTTTTAAGTTAGATGTTCTCTGTCATTGTTGTGTATAAGTTGTATATTTATGATCATCAGGAATCCAAATGAAAAATCAATAAAAGCTGGTGGAAAATTTATATAGCTTCATACTGTGATCAAAGTCAATTATAGGCAATTCTTATTTTATTTAACTGTTGTTATGGGCCTTTAAAGTCATTGGACTGAAAATACTAAGTAGAACTGATTGGAAAAAAATATGCTTTCCACGTAACAATGTCATTCAAAGTGATTGGGTATTGCTCATTATTTTATGATTATTTTATCTTGGAAGTTAATTTAGAATTGATCTTGATTTGTGTATTGTTTTTACTTTCAGATTGCATGACAAGCTAGGAGATAGAGAGAATTTTATTCCTGGATTTTAGAGACAATCAGAGGCAAAGGTAGTTTTTCCCAGCTGAATTTCTTGTCCACATTTCTATTTCAACGTTAATGAGCCGCACCATGACAAAACCAACATAATGCGTTTGTGACCAGCATGGATCCAGACCAGCCTGCGCATCCGCGCAGTCTGGTCAGGATCCATGCTGTTCACTATCAATTTCTCTACTTGTTATAGAGTGTGTAAGCGAACAGTATTGGTCCTGATCAGACTGTGCGGTTGCGCAGGCTGGTTTGGATCCATGCTGGTCGCAAACGCATTATGTTGGTTTTGTCATGACGCAGCTCATTTATCATTTATTAGCAGCAAATGGTGTAGTTGTAAAGTCACTTGAGTGTTCAGTTTCTTTTTCAGCTGACATAATTATGTCATTACATTTTTTTGTATGTATATTAACAAGTTTATTTGTACAGACAAATATAGCTGGAAATTCAGTTTAATTTTCATATTTGATAATTTCACATAATATTTAAATGACAATAAAGCCTGTAGAGATTTTAATTTTTACTCGAGCCAGATCACAACATCAAAATGTACAATGTAGCTCTCTGAAATGTAAAGGGTCAAGGTCACATTTTAACATCAAAATGCCAAAAATCTAAAATCGTTTATAGCAATTAACACAGGGGGAATAAGTGGGTTTCCGGGAGGTAATACAATGGATTATCAATTTATTTTCATAGCATTTTTTGTATGAACAATATAAGATAAAACGAGATAAAAAGTTTGCAATTTAGAGCAAAGAGCAGTATCATATTACTCCTATTATTAGTAATTTCACATAATTATAGAACAAGAGCTTTCCATTTAGAGTAACTGAGATCTATTTAACCCTAAGCCTGCTGACAGCAACAGCTTTTAAACCATGTGACCAGTGAAGACCAAGATTTGATGGGTCTCAAGGATGGCCGCACATCAGTAGTTATTATGAAATTTTCCCCTTAAAGTAATGAATGGTTATGTCCATATTGAAAGATGGACAAGTTCATTTCAGTAATTTAGGGTGGATAAGGGTTAATGTGTATGCTGTAAAAGTTTCTATTTTATATTTTATCCATGAGATTATTACCTTTCCTCATCAAATGAGAAATGCAGCTATACTCTTTAACAATACTGTCAGAGAAAACAGTTATCCTTAAATGTTCTCTTTTTATTGTCAGGCATTTAAAATGTTTGTGACAGGAATAACTTTTAGAAATGGCTGTAATCACCGGTCAACAGAACTTAACGACTTCCATTATTTCCTCTAGATGGTGATTATGACTGGAATTCTACCAGGACACTGGACATACTCATTTCTTTCCCCCTGTAATCATTTCCTCTTGGTTAACTCATAAATTCACTTTATAATTGTAACTGTCTCTTTGTCCCATTGTAATAGTGTTGTGTTCATGCATATATTTTACTTGTCTGCGTAAGCTAATATTGAGATGGAAGCGTGCTTTTGGCGAGTCGTCATAGAGGCTGCAGTTTTCTGTCTGATGGCAGAATCTCTCAAGTTCAATAATTTGATGCACTCTTGACATTACTTCTTTGTCTGCTTATATTTACCTTCTTTTTGTGTAGTACCTCAAGTGCTTGTGCATATTAAATGGGTTTTGTGGTTGAATAATTTGGCTGAGTTATGGCCCTTGAATAAAAAAATGTGTTTTGATCTGTTAATGATTTTTGTGCAATTGCCTATCATCAGACAATACATGTAATCACTGATCGCTCTAGTTTAAAATAAGAAATGTTTTCTCTGTTGATTGGTTGTCTGATAATACAGGTAATTTTAAACAGTGATTATTTATAACAGGACAATGAAGTTATAAATATTGAGCTTTGGTTTGGCTTAAGATTTTAATCTCTTGTTGGTAACATTAGATCAGTTTCAGTATGCTTCATGACTTTTTGAAAAGAAAATGAAGGGTAGATTCAGTTTCAAATTATCCCTGAACCTCTTCAGCTTAAGGTAATATTAAAGCCTTTGCTAGCAGTATAAAGCCGGGCTAGTCTGTAGAATTGTACAGTCTAAATTTACATCTTGATATCCAAAAATATATGGTAGAAAGTTACAAAATTGGAAGCTTGACAAGTCCATTTGAAGAAATTAAGCAGGATTAAGAATGAGACATTAAAGCATTTGATTGTATGTCACAACTCATTTAGCACCATGTTCCTGAATATTTTGGCATAGAAATTACCTACACTGAAACAATTAACCATTAAAACAATGCGGGGTAGACTGGCCAGCTTCACTAATTAGCTGCACTAATTGGATAATAATTGTTACTGGCATTGTTTAGATTGGTTTGCATCACTTATATTGTTTATAGGTCTACTGGACTGGTTTACTGATAATTATATGACACTTTGTATTAATTTATACCAGTCTAGCGTTACATTTTGTATTAATGTGGTAACCATTCTGGAGCTAGTACAGTCTCTGGTGGTCAGAATACACAGACTTCTGCTTCCTGTCTGTCAGATAAAAGTGATGAACATTTCCATTAACTATTCATTACTCTTAACACAAAAGTTAGAGGGAGCCAGTCTAACAATGGTATTGCATGACTAAAATTGTTTTATAGTGATATAATATCAATAAAAGGTGTAAAAAGTCATCATCTTAAATGGCCAAAGTTTATAAAGATGTTACTCTCCCAAGAAAATCTTTTGTGTGCCAAGAGATGATAAATTCTGATGAAGACAACCTTGGCCTATCTTTCATTCTTTTATTACTAATGCCATGAATAATTTAGTGATTAAACTCTTAAATTGCTAGATTTGTAAAATAGTCTTTGAACTTTGCAATTGTTCATTATTATTAAAAGGGGTTTTAATATAAAAAATTATCAAATTATTTAGTAGACTGTTTGCCATGCTTTGAATTTTAGAACTGTAAATTTAAAATTTCATTATTAATTTAAAGTATAAAAAAGGCAGACAGTGAATGGATAGGCATGTCAGACTTAAACCAACATGTTAGCTCAATAAGTAAAGCGTTGAACTGTGAATCAGGCAACCTGGGTTTGATTCCGGTCATTTTCATTGTGATTTATGGTCACTGGTCAATGGTCATTCTCACTGTACTTCTGCTCTTATCTGGCATGTGCTGAAGTTATCAGTAATGCAATTAGTACAGGTGAACTGCTTGACAGCCTGCCTAAGAATGATGTGGTAGCTAAACTGTGCTTACTGATTTGGAGGGTAAACTTACACCAGCACTAAATAGCCAACAGTGCAGGCATGATTTTGGTCTGCACTGGTTGCATGTTTAGAGCAAGTTGCCTGCAGCTGGCTGAGGGTTTAAATGCATGATTATTCCAACTCGGAGATATTGAAAGAGAAATAGTTATAAGCTTACAGAAAGTTAGTGATACTTTTTCACTCAGGGTGCCAACCAGATTGCTCAGATAGCTTCTAGGGTCCTTGCAGTTTCCCTTTTAAACTATGCAGTTTTGATAGGATATTCAACAAAATGCTGTCACTGTGTGAAATATTCATTATTAATCCTGAAATTTAGAGTTGTCCAAAACACTGGACTAATTACGAGGGTGTCAACTGCAATACTGTGCAATTGATGGAAACATAAATTAATATTTAGCCTGGAGTAAAAAAAGAACTATAATTACCCTGCCACCACACACACTGTTAGGACCTTCTATAACTCTGTTATAATGTCCACTAATTGTAAAATATAGACAAACATTCTTATGTAGAATATGGAAGAATAATTGTTGGTCTTGATTCCCCAAAAATTGCCCCTCATTTACTAAGGTATAGGGATAATTATATTGTCATTTTACATCAGTTTAGTAATTACTCAGGAGATAATTGTATATGCTTATTACTATACAACCCAATCTATTTGCACATGAATCAAATTAACAGAAAGTTGAGCATCATCTTTTGTTTTGTTAGTTTTCTTTGAGGACATTTGTAGAACATAGTAGTGTGAATGTACTATCTCTTAAAGGTACATTATGCCTCAGAAATCCATGTTCATAAAATTCTTTAGAAATGTCAAACATGAATTTATGATGTTTTAATAATTGATTTAGAGCATGTTCGATGTTTAAACAGCTGAAGAAAGTAGCCCTTAATTATAAGGCAGTAATGTGTCAGTCATAAAGGTAGCAAAATGTAAACAATGTAGTATTTAGACTTTGGTATAAAATGAGCCGTGTCATGACAAAACCAACATAATGGGTTTGCGACCAGCTGTTCGCTTACAAACTCTATAACAAGTAGAGAAACTGATAGCGAACAGCATGGATCCTGATCAGACTGTGCGGATGCGCAGGCTGGTCTGCATCCATGCTGGTCGCAAACCCATTATGTTGGTTTGTCATGACGCGGCTCATATACTGATTCACTATAATCATTCCAATTATTGCCAACAAAGCAAAAGGAGCAAAGAGTATTCATCTACATGTCAAATCAGTATTTTTTATGAAACTGAAACAAGATACCAAAAATAAAATGTTTTATGCATTTCTGAGACATATTGGGTCTTATCAATGTACTGTCGATTCAATATGATCGATAATGGGAAATCTTAAATTAAAAAGTACATAGGGGTGCCAGGAAAAAGCCATATACGAAAACTTATTAGCAAGAAAACAGGTGATTGAATATCATCTGGCCCGATACTGTAGTGGATAAGGTGCTTGTTTTGCATGCGGAAGGTCGTAAGTTAAAAACCCATAAGGGGGTAATACCTTTGGTACTTTTTTTACTTGCTATTTTATGTTTACATGCATATATATTTTCCATGTTTTTATTCACGAGAATGCTAAAGCATAAATAGTAAGTTACAATTCAATTCAACAATTCAAACCACGCCTTCAAACTCTGTGGCACACTCACTTGCGCTGGCGCTGACATGTTTGTCTCCAGTGCCAAGAGAGTATTTCAATAGGTGATTACCACGGAGAAATGAATTGTGAGGTTTTTTTAAAACATCAAGTGGCTTACTCAAAAGCTTATCCCTAATATTCCAGCACACACTGTCGT